GTGAGTCAAGATCTCTCTTTTCAGGCCTGCCTACCTCGCTCCCTCCTTTGTTCCCCCCTCCTCTCTCTCTCTCTCTCTCTCTCTCTCTCTCTCTCTCTCTCTCTCTCTCTCTCTCTCTCTCTCTCTCTCTCTCTCTCTCTCTCTCTCTCTTTCTCCCTCCCTCCCTCCCTCCCTCCCTTCCTCCCTCCCTCCCTCTCCTCGAGCAGCCTTGGCACACACTCAGCTAGATAGTTTGTCAGAAGTTCCCGAGTCTTTAAGAGCAAACGTTTATTTAATGGTTTCAATTTAACCTATATCACGCCCTTTTTGTAGCTCGGAAGACATCTCGAATTCCTCGATAGACAGGCGTGGCGAGAGGAGCCGCCTAGCAAAGGTCTTTGTGAGGCGGTAGATAGCGGCTTTTGTGCAGCGCAGGATGGGCTAGGACTCGGCCGAAATAGATGGAGTGGGGATTGGGTGCAGGGTTAATCTACGTGTTCATTCATGTGAACAACGTGGGTCTGACACGTAGTAGTTCACGTGCGATTATTGCATGAGGACGAGAGGAAAGATACCGAGGGAAAGAGGTCGCCAGGCAGGAGGAGGAAGAGGCAAGGGAAGCGACCCCGAAGCAAGCGAGCGAGGAAAAGCGGAGGCACGGCGCGCACGCACCCCCGCCCATCGCCTCTCGGGAGCTTGCTTGCAGACGCCAGACGCGTTGCGAGATGAACAATCGTAGGACTTAAAATGGCTTGCCGGGAGCGACAGGTCGGTGCAGGACGGACGCCTCTCCGCCCAGCTGACGAAGGTGTGAGGGATCGTGGCTGTTCGCGTCTCTTGCCACCTGATCTGCTCCCCATTATCTTTGGCCCGAGCGCTGTTGGCGTTGCATGCAGCGCCCTTCGCGTAGTGAGAGCGTCCGAAAGTCACTGGAAACGCTTTTTCGTTGTAGCAGCCGCGCCGCCGTCGCCGCCCGACCCCGCTACTGCGATTTAAAAATAGATTTAAATCGCGCCGCCTTTTCTGGGGCGCGCCTTTCCTTCCTAAGCGATCTGATCCGCTGCGGACGCCCCACCGCCGAGGGACGCGCTCGGCAGCCGGCGCCGAAGGGTAGAGAAGGGCAGGCGCAGGTGGCAGAACTTGCCTTCCGGAGGGAAGCGGAAGAAATGACGTTTCGCTCGCCCGGAATTAGAAAAAGTGAGGATTCAGTTTCCGCTCACGTTTTCCCGAAGTTTGGAAAAACAAAGATACCAAATGAAATAAAAAGTATATGAGACAGTTGCTCCATTCAGGCCCATTTCTAATATATAATCAAGTTTTTTGTCCCGCGAACGTGTCTGGCATGCGGTCATTTGTTCTTGCGAGTTTCGACTGATGCAACTTTTGATTTGATAAAGCACACGTTGGACAGGCACAGGTCTCGGCCGCGTTGCCTAAAAGACTCATATACATACGTGATGTGAGTACGGTACGTTTTACACCTACTCGTGCGCGTGTGCGCGTACGCGGACACGCACGCACTCACACACACACACACACACACACACACACACACACACACACACACACACACACACATATATATATATATATATATATATATATATATATATATATATATATATTAAATACAAAAATGTATGCAAACTAGAAACTGAGGTTGGTTCTCGTGATGTGGACCCACTCCTTCCCTCGCCCGTCTTGATAACGTTTCTTTATGCCTAGACGTACATTCTACCCAGCGTAGCTTATATATATATATATAAGTATATACAATATTTCCCTTCTGATTCAGCAGACGCCCCCCCCCCCCCCCCCCGCTGTCGGCCTCCCAGTGACAAAGGATCGCGAAGGATAATTCATTTTTTCCGGAGAGAGGACAGTCGCGATGTTTATCAGCGGAGAGGCTGTGATAGAGGAGGGAAGTTCGGGTCGAAAAGTTCTATTAGATCGTGGAAAAATCTACATCTGCCGAGGACAAAGGAATCAGGTGGCGACGCAGGCTGGAAGACGCGATTGCATCAGACTGGTGCAATATTGGTAGTGCCAGGAACCGTGCCCTGAGTCATGACTGTCGCCACCCCACTCACGTGTATATACTCTCTTTTCCTTTTATCTCTCTTGTTCATTCTAGTCCCTTCTTCCTTATTCTTACTTGTCAACTCTTCATCCCCTCCCCCTTCTCTTCCTCCGCTTTTCTTCTTTATTCCCCTCACCTTCCTTTCCCTCTTTCTTGTGTCCCTAGTCCCCTTTCCTCCCCTACTTTCTTTTTCGGCATTTATTTTCTCGTCCCTCTCCTCTTTTCCATCCTCCTCTCCCTCTTCCCTTCACCCCCCGCCCCTCACTCTTTTCCATTCTCTCCCTTTCTCTCTCGCCTCTCCTTCTCTTCTCCCCCTTCACCCCCTCTCCTACCCCCCCTCTCCTATTCCCCCTCTCCCACTCCCCCTCTTTCCCTTCTCATCCCCTCTTCCCTTCTTCCCCTCTTTCGCCCCCATCTCCCCATCTCCCCTACCCCGATGGCCCGAGATTCCAACTTTAATCATCGTAAAACAGTGTTGGACGGGGCTTTCAACTTTGACCCCCTCACCCCCTCGTTCCCCTCCCCCCCTCCCCACCCTCCCTGCCATTTAGAGGGTCGTTGACTGGCCTAACGCAATTGGGGGACACAAAACACAAGCGCGGGCGGAGCTCCATACGCTTTCCCTCTCTCCTCTCTTCTCCCCCTCTCTCTCTCTCTCTCTCTCTCTCTCTCTCTCTCTCTCTCTCTCTCTCTCTCTCTCTCTCTCTCTCTCTCTCTCTCTCTCTCTCTCTCTCACTCTCTCACTCTCTCTCTTTCCCTCTTTCCCTCTTTCCCTCTTTCCCTCCCCCTCCCCCTCCCCCCCCCCTCTCTCTCTCTCTCTCTCTCTCTCTCTCTCTCTCTCTCTCTCTCTCTCTCTCTCTCTCTCTCTCTCTCTCTCTCTCTCTCTCTCTCTCTCTCTCTCTCTCTCTCTTCTCTCTCTCTCTCTCTCTCTCTCTCTCTCTCTCTCTCTCTCTCTCTCTCTCTCTCTCTCTCTCTCTCTCTCTCTCTCTCTCTCTCTCTCTCTCTCTCTCTCTCTCTCTCTCTCTCTCTCTCTTTCTTTCTCTCTCTCTCTCTCACTCTCTCTCTCTTTCCCTCTTTCCCTCCCCCTCCCCCCCCCTCTCTCTCTCTCTCTCTCTCTCTCTCTCTCTCTCTCTCTCTCTCTCTCTCTCTCTCTCTCTCTCTCACTCTCTCTCTTTCCCTCTTTCCCCCCCCCTCCCCCTCCCCCCCCTCTCTCTCTCTCTCTCTCTCTCTCTCTCTCTCTCTCTCTCTCTCTCTCTCTCTCTCTCTCTCTCTCTCTCTCTCTCTCTCTTTCTCCTTCTTCCCTCTTTCTTTATTTCCCTCTTCCATTTTACGTGTTTTCTTCTTCCCTCCCTCCCTCCCCCTCTCCCTCTCTTCCTCCCCTACCCTCCTCTCCCCATTTCTCTCTTCCCTCCTTCCGTCTCCCTTTATCTGTGTCTTTCTTTCCCGTCCCTCCCTCCGCCCCTCCCTACCCCTCCATCTCCCCTCCCCCTTTCCTTATATATCTCTCCTTCAACCCATAACCCAAGTATAATTGTTAGTGTCAACACACATGGAACAACCCCCCACCCCACCCCCCGCTCACACTCCCTCCCCCTCTCCCATTCTTTCCCCTCTCACCCATCCTCCTCCCTCTCCCCTATCTCCCCCTCTCCCATTCCTCCCCTCTCCATCTCCCCTCCCCCCCCTCCCCATGTCCCACTAACCCCCAATGTACGTGTCCTTGATCACAATGTCTCTGATGAAGGAAATGGCGAGGTGTACATACATTAACCGAGATTGTACACGCAACACCAGGGGTAGGGGTAGGGGGGGTAGGGTAGTATGGGATAGGACCGGGTGTAGTAGGGTAGTAGGGTAGGGAGGGGGGGGTGTAAGAAACAGATACAGGAAGGCGAAGAATAACATAGAGATAAACAGCGATTTGATACGATTCCAAAGAAAGGGAAGAAGAGATGTTGTTCTTTCTTCTCCTCCTCCTCCTTCTTCTTCTTCTTCTTCTTCTTCTTTTTTGGAATTTCTTGGTTTTCACTCGTTATTCCTCTTGCTTTCGGACCAGCTGTTAAAGCGATTATGATCCTCGGCTTTGCTAGTTTCTCTCACTTTCTGGTTTTCACTATCTCTATTTATCTGTCTGTGTGTCTGTCTCTCTTATACTTCTCTTCCTCTTGTCTCTTTCTCTTTTTCTTTTCTCTCTATATATTTTCTCTTTTTAATTTATTTCTGTTTTCTTTCTTTCTCTGTTCCTTCTCTCCTTTCTCTCTCTCTCTATCTATCTATCCATCCATATATCTATCTGTATATCTATTTATCTATCTCCCATCCACCTATCTCCATCTAAATCTCCATCTTCCTCTCTCCCTCCCTCTTTCCCTCCCTCCCTCCCTCCCTCCGTCCCTCACCCCTTCCCTCCCTCCCTCCTTCCCCTCCCCCTCCCCCCTCCCCCTTCCTTTCATCCTCTCTCTATGTAACTCTATATCTGTTTATCTCTGACTCTCTCTCTTTCCGTTTATCTTTCTATCTATCTATCTATCTATCTACCTCCATTTCAATGTATTTATCTATATTTATCTCTGTTTCTATGTCTATCTCTGCCTCTGTCTCTTCCCTACCCTCTCTCTTCTCTCTCTCTCTTTCTCCTCTCCCTTCCTCTCCCTTCTCCTCTCACTCTCTCCATCTCCCTTTCTCTTTCCCTCTCGCTCTATCTCTTCCCTTTCTTGTGTGCATGTTTGTGCGCCAGTTTCGACGTTTTCATCAGCATCACTTCGTCAGCGGAATTTTCTCTTTTGCTTTCTGAAAGACGACAAGAATCCTTTCATTTCTTTTTCTTTTATTAATATTTTATAGGGCGATCAATACGCTGTTTTTTGCGGTTTATTTAATTTATTATTTATATCATGTTTTGATCATGTAAGTTAGGCCTACAGCTCCTCCATATTGTTAG